ATGATCATATGGACGTTACTCACTTAGATGTTGCTGATCCAGATAGAAAAATTGACCATCTCATTAGTGATGGAAGTGTCCAAAAATAAGTTATTATTATTATTGAGTTATTATGTTTTTTTATATGTTAATTTATGTTTAATGTATTTTTTCTTCTCTTTATAATAATAATAATAATAATAATAATAAATTATAGTTGTTCTTTCATTGATATAGTTGTTATTAAATTAAATTTTAATATAGTCAGTGTAAATAAACTATAATAAATAATAATAAATTTTTACCATTTTTTTTATCTAATTCTTTTATTTATTTTTGCTATGAAGACATATGTGATGTTGATAGTGCAACAACTCACACAATTCTCAAAAATAAAAAATATTTTTCTCATTTAGTAATGCAACAAGCTAATGTGAGTATTATATCTGGTAGTACAAAGATTCTTGAAGGCTCTGGTAGAGCTAATATATTGATGCTTGGTGAAACAAAATTACACATTGTTAGTGCATTATACTTCACTAAGTCTCGTAGAAACTTATTAAGTTTCAAAGATATATGCAAAAATGGATACCATGTTGAAACAACAAATGAAGGAAGAGAAGAATATACGTATATCACAAAAATTATCTCAAATAAAAAATGTGTATTAGAAAAATTACCTTCTTTTTCTTCTAGCTTATATTACACACATAAATATAATTGAAACACACATTATTGTAAACCAGAAGTTTACAAATCATAATAATTTTTTTATTTGGCATGAGTGATTAGGCTATCCTGAATCAATCATAATGCGAAAAATAATTAAAAATTTATGTGGACATTCATTGAAGAGCCAACAAATTCTTGAATCAAATAATTTATGTGTTACTTGTTCTCAAGGAAAACTAATTAGTCGACCTTCACCAACTAAAATTGGAAATGAATCTATCATATTTTTAAAATGTATACAAGGTGAGATTTGTAGACCAATACACCCATCATATGGACCATTTAGATATTTTATGGTTTTAATTGATGCATCTACGAGATGGTCACATGGTTGTTTGTTGTCAACTCGCAACCAGGCATTTGCGAGATTACTTGCACAAATAATTTGTTTAAGAGCTCATTTTTCTAATTATCCAATTAAGAAAATACGCCTTGATAATGTTGGTGAATTTACATCTCGAGCTTTTAATGATTATTTTAAGTCTATTGGAATTGATATTGAGCATCCTGTAGCACATGTACATACTCAAAATGGGCTTGGTAAGTAATGGATCAAATGTCTAAAATTAATTGCAAGACCATTACTAATGAGATCAAAACTTCCAATTTCTACTTGGGGACAGACAATCTTGCATGCTGTAACACTTATTCGCATCAGACCAACAAGCTATCATATGTTATCCCCTTTGCAATTAGTTTCTGGTCAACAACCAAATATTTCTCATCTTAGAATTTATGGATGTGCAGTGTATGTTCCTATTGCTCCACCACAATGCACTCAGATGGGTCCTCAAAGAAGGTTGGAAATATTTGTTGGCTATGAATATTTATCTATAATAAAGTACCTTGAGTCAATGACATGGGACTTATTCACTGTTCGATTTGCTGATTGTCATTTTGATGAATCATTTTTTTCCTATTTTCGGAGGAGAAAATAAGCGTTTGGAAAAAGAGATAAGTTGGAATGAATTATCTTTATCTTATCTTGATCCTCGAACAAAACAGTGTGAATTAGAAGTTTAAAAGATAATTCATTTGCAAGGTTTAGCCAATCAACTACCAAATATGTTTACGAATCCAAAAATAGTGACTAAATCATATGTGTCAGTTGCTAATGCTCCAATCAAAATCAATGTTCCGATTGGACAATCTAATATTGCAAATCAATCTGAATCGTATGAAGCGTGGTAGACCTTTTGGTTCCAAAGATAAAAATCCTCAAAAAAGAAAAGGAACTAAGAATCAAGGTGACCAAAATGAAGATGTAAAGACTCCAGAAGAGTCATCAAATATAATTAATATTTTAGTTCCCGAAGAAACACAGGTACCTAAAAATGATGAAAATAAAGAGATTTTAATAAATTATGTCATGAATAAAATACAATGGAACCAAAATGAGTCAATATTGATGATATCTTTTCATTTAATGTAGCATTGGATGTGATAACTAATATAGAGGATCATGAACCAAAATCAGTCAACGAATGTAGACAAAGAAATGACTGGAAAAATGGAAAGCTGCGATTGAGGTAGAATTAAAGTCGCTTACAAAGCGTCAAGTTTTTGGACTTATAGTTTGTACACCTGAAGATGTAAAGCCAGTTGGATATAAATGAGTTTTTGTGCAAAAACCAAATGAAAAAGGTGAAATTGTGAGATATAAAGCATGACTTGTTGCCCAAGGTTTTTTGCAAAGACCTAGTATTGATTTTGAACAAACATATTCACCTGTAGTGGATGCAAATACTTTTCGATACTTAGTTAACTTAGCAGCAAATGAAGGATTTGATTTGCGATTAATGGATGTTGTTACAACCTTTTTGTATGACTTACTTGATAATAACATTTATATGAAACTCCCTGAAGGTTTTAATTTATCATATGCAGACAATTCAAATTCTAGAGAAGATTATTCAATCAAGTTGAATAAATCACTTTATGGATTGAAACAATCTGGACGCATGTGATATAATCGCCTTAGTGAATATTTGTTGAAGGAAGGATATAAAAATGACCTTATTTGTCTATGTATTTTTATAAAAAGATCTTATAATGAATTTGTAATAACTGTTGTTTATGTTGATGATTTAAATATCATTGGAACTCCTGAAGAGATTTTAAAAATAGTAAATTTTAAAAATAGTAAATTGCTTAAAGAAAATTTGAAATAAAGGATCTTGGAAGGATAAAGTATTGTCTTGGTTTACAACTTGAATATGTAAAGAATGAAATTTTTATACATCAAGAAACTTATACCTCAAAAGTGTTAAAATGATTTTATATGGATAAATCACATCCCTTGTGTACTTTAATGTTTGTAAGGTCACTATATGTAAACAAAGCCCCTTTCAAACCTCAGGAGCAGGATGAAGAATTACTAGGTCCTGAAGTACCTTATCTTAGTGTAATTGGAGTACTAATATATATTACTTGTCATACACGACCTGATATATCTTTTGTTGTTAACTTATTAGTAAGGTATAGTTTTTCACCTACAAGAAGACATTAGAATGGAGTTAAATATATATTTCATTACCTTAAAGGTACAATGGATATGTTTATTTTACTCAAATGAATCTAAATCTGAATTGATTGGTTATGCAAATGCGGGTTTTTTGTCTGACCCACATAATGGTAGATCATAAACAAGTTATTTGTTTACATGTGGTGGTACAGCCATTTCATGGCAATCTATGAAACAAACTATAACGATTACATCATCCAATCATGCAGAAATTTTAGTATTACATGAGGCAAGCTGAGAATGTATTTAGTTAAGATCTATGATTTAACATGTGCAAGAAACTTGTAGTTTATCTTCAAGAAAAATGACCCCAACAATTCCATGTGAAGATAATGTTGCGTGTATTACTCAATTGAAAGAAGGGTATATTAAAGGAGATAGAACAAAACATATTTCTCCAAAATTCTCTTTTACCCATGATCTTCAAAAGAATGGTGATATAAATATTCAACAAGTTCGTTCATATGAGAATCTAGCAGATATTTTCACAAAGTCACTTCTAAGTAAAACTTTCGAACAACTAGTTCACAAGATTGGACTTCGTCGTCTTCGAAATGATTGTCCACATGAGGAGGAGAATTAAATACGCTTTGCACTCTTTTTCCCTTAGCTATGTTTTTTTTCATTGGGTTATCCTGGCAAGGTTTTTAACGAGGCAGAATGTAATAACGTATTAAATAATATTATATTCTTCTTAGGTTTTTATCTTTAAGTTTTTCCTAGTTAGATGTTATAAAACATATTATCAAATAATGGACATTCAAGAGAGAGCATTATGAATTATTATATGAGTGAATGTTCATATTCATAATTCCTCCTTATTCTTTGTAACTTATGATTTTTTAACTATTTTATTTAATTCTCATCAAAGAGATACGATTCTTTGATTATAGATTTATGCCTATAAATATGTGTTTCATTTGTATTGAGGATCTGTGAAATCAAATTGAAATTCTCTCTTCTTTTTTATATTCTTATCTCTATTTTTCTTTATAATTTTACGTTTATTTCATAACAAATGTTATTTTCAAATGAATTCGCCCATTTGGTAGCTAGTTTAAACTATTTGAATTTTTTGCAGTCTACATTGGGCTAGTATGAGTAGCTAATGGAGGTTTTGTAATGAGTTTTATGAGAAAGTAAAATTTTATTCTAGACAAGGTTTTGGGTCATCTTGTTTGGTCTCTAACTAGATAAAGATATTGGACTTCACCATATTTATACATAAAAGTTGATTCCAAAGAGGCAATTCCACTAATTTACTCTGACCAGACGTATAATTGCCTTATTCCTTATTTGGTTATGTCAATTGTATATTATTTAAAGAGTTTGAATCTGTGTATTGTATTCATAGTTTTCGTAAAGCTAATTAGGGGACAAATTTGTTAGTCATATGTAGCTAATAAAAAAGTAATTTATTACATTATTTTAAATAAGGCTCTCTCTTTTGTTTTTTCTTTGCTTAAATAGGATGTTATGGGGATTGACTCTAAAAAAAAAAAATTTAATGTTAATTAAGGTTCACAATAGTTATACATATAATTTTTCAAAAAAATTATTATAACAAATATTAGCCGAACGAACAATACATGAGTAAATAATTTATTTTCTTAGGTTATACATCAATTTTTTCCTTAACATCATCAAACTAATTAATAAAATGGTTAGGAATACAGAGCTGTTATCCTCTACTAAAGATTAAAAAAACGAAGATTATTACAGATAAACATATCCCCGAGTAATCACATGATGGACCCAGTTCACTTTATTCATAGTCGGCTTTTTTTAATCGAGCGTTAATCAATGATAAAAAAATAAAAGCCAAAACCAGAGCTGCGGCCCCTCCAACAAATATTGCTGCTAACTTATTGGCGTTGTTGCTTCCGCTTGCTCCTGTATTCATAAATTGAGTGCATAAGTAATGAGCATTCATGTGTAATAATATTTGTAGATTGTTTTCGTGTTTATATTTTTCTACTGTGTTGGAAGAACATCTAGGTAAAAGTTTACATGACTAGTGTACTAGATACAAAAAAATTACAAAATGATTATGCAAAAGAAGAATCTAGAGTAGCAAACGTTAAAACCACCTAAAAAATAGGAAAATCAACCATCACGACAAAGCTATGAGTAATTTTCAGATATATCATAAAAGTAAATCACAAAATTTTAAATAAAACAAATTCTAACATCTTAATTTATAGATTATATTTATCTGAATAATTAGGAGAAAAAATAAATTCAAAAAGTGTTTCAGTATATTAATTAAAAAATGCAAATACAAGACTTTGGTTATTGATTGAATTTAGTAACTACCTGGAATAGAGTTGCCAGGAATGGCACCTAGTTCGGGCTGGTATATGTAACTTATAAAACACTTGTCAAGATATATTTGTGCAGAAAGCGAACTACGGCAATCTTCCTTAGCAACCTGCACTGCATCGCTTACGCAATTACTACACTCACAAGTGTCTGAATCACCTTCACACTGTGCCATCAATTTCACCGATTTATAATTCGTTGCATAGTACCCATTACTGTTTAAGATCCCACTTTCCAGGTTCACAAATGCCTCATCCATCAACTTATTGAATTTGAAAAACGCCAAAACGGGTTCTCCACAGTCCTTGTGAAGCAAAGTGCTAGTTTTAGATTCGCCACTTGTTTCTTCTGGAAGCTCTTCGGTTCCGTATTGGATGTAGCAACCGTCAAGTTGTACCCGTGCAGACGTGGAATCGCTGCACAAGGTGTTGGACATCTGAGGAAGCAAGTTTACGCAGCTGAAACAATCTTCATTGTTTATGTCATCTCTGCATTGGAAAAGGCCTGAGATGGCTGTGTCATCGTTGACAGTTTCTGCGGTTTTGAAGAACTTGTGTTGGGAGGATTGTGAGGTGAGTTGTTGGAAGAGATAATTGAGTGTTTGAGAATAAGATTGAGATAATTGGTCGTTGAAGGTTTGGGTTGCACAGGTTTTGTATACTAATGTGCTGATATCGGAAACTGGTTCAGAAGAAGGTAGGAAGAGCAAGAAAGAGAAACTGAGGAGGATGGTGGAATGGGAAACTTCCATTTGGGAAGGGCTTTTGGTGCAACGCTATGGCATTTGGTGGTTCTGACACATTGATTTGGAGAACCACATTGTAAAATTTATCAGTTGCGCGTAAATATATAGCTTTTACTAATTAAACTTTTTGGAAATGATTTCATGGTGGCTTGGGGAGTTGGGTTTTTGGTTTGCTTTTTCATTCCTAATCCTATCTACCGAATGAACTTGCTGAGACTGTAAACTAGCAACACGTCAAAAAATGAAAAAGAGAAAACACTTGCGCAGAATTCCAATTTAAAACCTTGCGTTACAAGTTATTCTACCTACCGCGCATGCCTATGCATGTCAGGTATTTAATCCTTAATTTCATCTTGCTGGCTAGCTTATAGTCATATCAAGAATAACAATTTTATTCGTAAACACTTAAATATGATCAATATTGCTTTAACGTTTTATTTTATTTTTTATCGTATGATATTATTTATTTTATTCTTATATTTCTTTAGGTATAGACATTTTATTGAGTGTCTATCAAATATTTTCCTAAAATAAACGACTAATAAATAAACTTGATAATTGGCGATGTAGAAAATAAGGTGAATATTTAATCAAAACTAAAGCACAATATTAAAATCACTCGTCTCAAAACAAACGCACTAATATGAGTTGGTATATATGCTATCTCTGTATATATTGAAATAAAATTTTAAATTTTTATAATTTATAAAAATAAATTTAATAATATTCATACTGTAGAAACTAAAAATTAACTGGTTTTAACTTATAATTTAACCAATAAAAGGAAGCCACCTAAAGAACTTTGTTTTTTCCGTTTTAGGAAACCAGCTAAAGAATTTTCATACCAACAGAAGGCACTGCTGTTATGTATTAACGTGAAGAAAGTTCTGGACGGCAATGGAAAAGGCTGTAGATGGCCCACACAGAGTGCTTGTAAACTTGTATCTGTAATTAGTTTGTCCAACCCATGTTTCCTACCCAAATGTTAGGAGTACACGGCTAGCGCTAGACGACGAAGGTTAAAATAAAAAGTTTTAAAAAAATGGAAATGGTAGGGCCAATAACCAATCTGTCTCCACAACCATCCTTCTCTCTTGCCAGAGTCCAAACATAAGGCCACGCGGCATCACCCAGAAATAAAAGGTCCCACACACTCCCTTCCAAAATAACAAAGCAAAGAGAGAGAGAGAGGTTTGCATTTGGCGTTTAGGGTGGTGGGCGAGGCAGCAGCAGTCTCCCCCGCCATCGTCAACGTTACATTCCACTCATTCATTCATTAATTCATCACCGATCACCAGTCACCAATAATAAAATGTCGATATTAGCTTCCCCATTCCAACTCCTGGAAATCAACCTGATATCGGCCCAAGACCTCGCACCGGTTTCCAAATCCATCAAAGCCTACGCAGTGGCATGGCTTAGCCCAGAACGCAAGTTAGCCACCCAAATTGACCCAGACGGTCACAACAACCCCACATGGAACGAGAAATTCGTCTTCCGCGTCGACGACGAGTTCCTAAACGCGGACGACTCCACCATCATGATCGAAATCTACGCCTCCGCATGGCTCCGCGACGTTCTCATTGGCACCGTCGGCGTTCTTGTCGCCAACCTCTTACCTCGCTCCACCAACCGCAAATCCAAGGTTCGCTTCATCGCGTTACAGGTTCGTCGACCCTCGGGTCGCCCCCAAGGGATTCTCAACATTGGAGTCAACCTCGTTGACCCCACCATGAGAAGCATGCCAATGTATTCCGAACTCAGCGCTTCCGCCGTTGGCGATTGGGACATAATGGACCCCAAGAAGGACAAACTACCAAACCATGATAATAACAACCCTAATGATTCCGATTTCAAGCTCTTAACGCTCCAACGCTCGCAGAGCGAGAAAAACGACTCCACCATCAACGATTATACGTACAATCCCAAACAAACCGGTTACGGTGGTAACGCTGATGATTACCCAGGGGATTCCGAGCTTGGAATGCCGATAACCAAAAAAGGAGCCATTATGAACGCCAACGGGTCTCTCTGCTCGGACGTAGGGCCCTCACCGTCGGTGGTGGCAGCGGCGATAGCGAAGGGATTGTATCCGTTGCCGCTGCCGGCGCCGCGAAGAGCGGGGAACTCGTTGTTTGATGGTTGGCCGGAGAAGGAGGGTGGTGCGGAGGGGCTGAATACGAAGATTGATCGGTGGCGGTCGATGGAGTTGCCGGCAGTGTACGATCACTTAGGGCAGAACCAACGGAAGGTGACTATGCATACTCCGAAGGATAAAGGTGAGAAACAGAGACGAGGTAATCGTGGGAATGGAGGGTTGTTTTCGTGTTTTGGCACTGCAATGGGGTGTGAGTTTTCGATTACTTGTGGTGGGGGTAACCGCAAGAAGAGGTATGACGGTAGCAAGGCTCATCTTACTGCTGCGTCCGAGCTTACCTACGATGAATCCTATATTTGAGAAGGAGGGATGTAACAAGTGGTGTTCCTGGGCTGGGCCGGGCCGGGCCGGGCCATAACGGTTTGGGTTTAGAAATAGAGGGAATGGTCCATTGGAGGATGTCTTGCTCCTCCTCTTCATTTTTCGTCCCTTCTTTTCATATCTTCCATTCTTGACCACCTTTATTTGTTTTTACCAGATGATTAATGTGTATTTATTTAATCCAAACTTACATTACACCGCCACCATGCTTTATAGGTCAGAGGAGGAGCGATAACCAATCCACTCTTTAATATATTAATATTTTAATTATTAATTAAAATTTATTAAAAAGTATAAAAATAAAAAATTATTAAATTAAGAATAAAATTTATGTAATTTTTTATTTTTAATAAGTTTAATATAGTTCAAAATTTATTAAATAATAACTTATTACTCGTTAAAATTTCTCTTACAGGTTATACACGAGATTAAGTCATATCTTATAAATAAATAGATTAGAAAATATATAAATGAATCAAGGTAATAAAATTTTATATAATTTTATTTTAATATATTATATATTTTTAAAAATATAAATAAACATTTACTTAAATTTATATATTTAAAAATGATTAATTTATTTATAATTGCTATGTTTTTTAAATATTAATATTTTATTTTATTTTTATGGCTGATTTTACGGAAATTATGTTTAAAAGTGTTTAGAATTAAAATACTTTTAAAATCTTAAAAAAATTAAAAGAAAAAAATTATTTTATACTTCTTGCTCAATTTTGACAATTTTCATCACTCTTTTTTTTCGTCAGTTATCTAAATCGTTCACTTGATTGATTTATAAGTCTAACTAGTCAATTTGGTTCAATTTTTAAAACAATGATAAAAACCTTTATTTACGTTATAAAATTAGTAAATTAAATTAGCACCAAAATATTTAATAATATTATTCAGTATATACGCACGTATAGATGGCATAACATACAAGTATGAAACTAATTTACAACAGTTAATTTCAGTTTAATGCATAAATAGTGAAAATGTGATTATTTAAAAAGATACCATTACATGTATATGAATAAATATAGGTTTAAATTAACAAGCTTAAGGAAGGAACTAGGGATGCAGGGCGCTTGCAATATCTCTTAAATCTGTCTTTAGCTATTGGCTTTAGATTTTTATTAGAACTGTTTATATAATAACGTTTTGTTTTTACTTTTTTATCGTTACATTGCTGTCGTGACTTCAATTTATGACAAGGTCTGTACTTAATATAAATAGATACTTAAGAAAGTTATTGATCTGTCTTTTTTCTCGGAGCATTGTTAAGCCTCCTATTTTTATACACCCATCGAACGCAACACCAACTCTTACCACGCTCAAACAATAATAAATTACTCTTTAACACACTTTTAGTTCTTAAATTTATAAAACACATCAGGTTTAAAAATTATAATACTCAACCCAAGCATTTTTCTCACTACAGAAGAGCTTAATAAAAACAAACTCATGAAGACTAAAATATAAAATAAAAATAAAAAATGAATACAAAAATGGTTGGACCAGTGGTTGTGGCTTCATTTTCTTATTTAAAGTTGAAGAATGGCGACACTTTAGACTAAGTAGAATTTGACATTTCAAGTCTAATGAGGCGGCGCTCCATTTTGATTTTTATTATCCCTTATTGATAGTTCAGTGGTCCAAATTGCAGAGGCGCGTGCGCCCACACACATACATTTTTTTTTTCATCCAATTCAATTCGACACATCACACATACACTCTTTAATTATATCCCTTATTAACTATATAATGCATAATTAATTTAAATTAATTATTACATGTGTGGCTTTTTATATTAATGTAATTTATTAGAAAAGATTATTACTAAACAAAAATTTTAACGTTAACTAATTTTAATCATTTTAAATTACTAAGATTTTATTAAAAAATATATTTATTTATTGTAATGATATAAATTTTAATATAAAATCATTTACTTTTATATTCCTAAAATTAACTTCTATATAGAACATAGAGTAATTTTTTTTTACATTATATATATATATATATTTAATTTGATATTTTTTTAATTGTTTTATTCAACTGAATATAATATTTAGCATTAATAATTATAATTTTTATAAGATTTAAATAATTATTTTAAAAAATAGTTTAATAATAGTTATACACTGTACGATTATATTAAAAATACTACCTACAATAAAATTTTAGATAAAAAAATCTTAACATATATTTTATATTTTGTTTTTAATATTTACACAAATATGCGCAATGCCTAGATGTTATAATTAGTATATGATTAAATGCATTATTGTACCTTCGTTGAAAATGAATAAGTAATATAGTGTAACGAATGAATGTTATAAACATAGAATCAGGTACAGTCGTCCAGATGGTCCGGTAGGGCACGCATTAAGGAAAAGATGTAATACACGACAATGTTACCAGTAAATAACATTAGCATTATTATTATTATTATTATAAGGCGCAGGAAAAAGTAGGTATACAACGTGGAACAATTTTATTGGCTAAAAATAAATTATAAAATTAATTAAAAAGATGACCGAAATGATTTCTTAAAGAGTATTTTATTGCGTGTAAAGCACCCGAAATCATAATGGCAAGTGCGTTGTCTATTTGAAAATGACATGCTACGAAGTATTCATCCTTCGATTTTAAGATTGAGTTTTCACGCTTCAACTTCCGAATCATATTCAAAAATAAAATAAAATAGCAAAAGTAATTTTTAGAGAATAAAATAGCAAAAATTAATACAGAAAAAAAAAAAAAAAACGAGAGTCGCCTTCCACGTGCTAATATTTTGCTCCTTATTTGGTGTGCATGATTCACGTCTTCCAACTAGAAGATATTTTGGTCATCGTTTTCTTAGAAACGTTAATAATATAATTTTTAATAGGCTTTAAATAATTTTTTTAAATTTAAAATATTCATCTCATTAATTATTTTCAATTTTTAAAAATAAGTCAATTATATTATTAGCATTCTTATTAACTATTTTTAAATTTATAAGATATTCTTTTCTCTTGCTGTGATAAGATATATTTTTTAATTTTATAAAAAAGAATTAATGTTGATTTATTTGTAGGTTGATAATATTGCTTTTTCTTTTACAAATTTTTCAATAACAAAATTTAAATAACTTTAATTAGTTATTACTTATTGTTTTAGTCTATAAATCTAAGAGTAGAGGAGAAGTTATAAAAATTTATTTATTTTTCTAGGAAAAGCTTTATTATTATTTATTTTTTATTTACTAAGGATGACTTTCTTTTTTATAAAATTGAAAATAGGTTTAAAAAAGTTATTAGATGCAAAAATTTTGTGATGTTTCAACTTGGACAAATCTAAAGCAATATGTTTAAAAGGAGTCCCTTACTAGAAGTATGATATTTTTTATGATAGGAACCTAACTTTCTATTCTCAATCATTTTATTACAGATTCGATAACCCACCCTAACTTTTTATTCAACAAAGGTAGATTAAATAAAACAACTTTTGTTCATTTATTTTATAAAATTTACAAAAAGGTGACAACTTGAAAAATAAAATGACTTCATAGAACTGGTAAATTTTATAATTTTACTTGACAAAACCTATGTTAACTTTTATTTATACTTATCTCATGCAAATTCAATAGTTACCTCAATCTATTTGTCATGATATAAATTATGTAGTTAAATATTTTTTTTCTTTAAATAATTAAAACTATGACATTCATTTGATTGGTTAAGGCAAAATTATCTTTCCTAAAAAATATGGTAGTATAAGTGTTTGTAATATGCGAATAATTAATACTTCTCTTATAAGTAAATTGATGTATGATATTCTATAAGATAAACCCAAATTATGAGTTCAAATCATGAATGTTAAATATATAAGAGGTAATCCACTATGAAATGTTCAATTATGCCTAAAAGACTCTACTTGGAAGATCATTCTGAAGGTTTATAACATTTTGAGAGATTATTTTTAGTTCTAGTTGAATTCTGCTTTTTATTCATTATGGTACTTCAATTGGTTGAACTTGATCCAATTGTTAATTTAGTTAATTTTGTTCACATCTCATATACAAATCTTTAAATTAATGAGTTATTTGTTTATGATGTTTGAAAATTAGATTGACTTATCACTTGTATTTTACAACATATCAAAGTCCATATACACCAACTTCTTGGACTAATAGACAAAAATATTGAAGACCATAGTATTAGAAAAATACAAAAGAAACTTATTTTGTAAATGCAACTTATGCTTGGTTTAGCAATTTGAGATCCAACCTTTTATCAATTTAAGATCTTGATTAGGTTTGGAAGTTACTAGTAATAAAGAAAGTTAAAATTTTTATTTGACTTATTAGTCATAAATCTTTGCCTATTAATTCTTTGTTTCATTATCGTGTGCTCACTTTCTTAACCTCTTGTTTTAAGTATTCTAATGAATTTGAAAACATTAACTATTGTATAAGAGATTTTCTTTATTCAACAAAAGTTTAGTTTCGCTAGGTATTATTTGTTTCATAACTCTATTACTACTTGGATTGCTACCTTAACATAAAAGTTGTATTTCCTTTTTATCTAATTTTTGGTGGCATTGGCATTGAAGGAATAATATTTTCTTTCACAAAAAGAAACAGAATATATATCATGCTTTTGGTTTCATTTTTTTGTCTAAGAAAAATTATTTTTTGTTAATTTCAAACTAGTCATGGGATCTACCATTTTTTTAGTACTATAAAATTAATAGGGATAGTAGTTATAAGATGAATCATATGAGTTATTGTGGTTTTATATTTTTCTGTTAGTTTTGCTTTTTTTTTATATATATATAATAATAAGTTTGATCTTTGTGTTAAATTGAAAATAATATTTTAGAGTCTCTCTGTATGAAAAAAAATTATTGTAGGATAATTATAGAGTATGATTGCTTAAAAAAGTGATAGATCTTATTTTAAAGAAGTTAAGATTGATTTCAATTTGAAACGTATATTATATTATACAATATATTTATTATCTTATGCACAACTTCTTTTATGTATTTATATATTATGTTATTTGTGAGATTATTTAATAATTAACAAACTAGTTTATTTGACACTTTTATACAAAGTTTTCTTCATTTCTCCAAACAATCTTTTTCATTAAAAATTAAAAAAACTCACTCTAACATTTTCTTATTTTTAAATAGTCCATATTCTTTTAAAGTTTGTAATAAAATTCTTGTCATTAAAAGCATTTATAATTTACTTCTAAATTGATTTATTTTGACTGTTTTTGCTTCAACTTTAATCTATCGTCTTTAATTTTAAAATTATTCATTTATTTCGTTATGAAATAACCATACAGAACAACGAGTATTCAGTGGAGGAGGAATGAACGGAAAAGATACAATATATACTTGCGGACTATGCGTAGGAACCAATTCATTCGCAACTAATAGATGAAAACTTGAAGAAAGAGAGAAATATGTCTTAATCAACAATAACAAACATAATAATTGAATTTCAAGTTGAAGGGATGCATAAGCGTACATCAACGAGGTGGCGAGTGAATATTCTTTACGCAAAGTGGTTATGCCATCCTATATACATTTTTATATGTGAAAAATTCACATTTGGTGGTAACGACGCAAATCAACTCTAGCTGTAACTACCCTAAAATAAATAATAATAATAATAATAATATATTAAAAATAAAATAAAAGATAAGGAAAAAGAAAAATGGAGAAAGGAACAAGACACAAGCAGCAGCCGAACTTCCAAATTAGAAGGACACAACCTCAAAAACAACAATTGAAGTTAAAGCAGAGCATCTTGAACAAAGCAGAGAAGAGAGGAGAGGAGAGGAGAGGAAGGCGAAAGTTGAAGACTTTCTTCCTTTGCTATTACTAAAACAATCTCTTCTCCCTCTTCTTTGACTTCTTTGAACTTTGAAGGCAAGAAAACTAGTCTCTCTTCTTGTGGGGGGAGTATAAAGCAAGACTCTGAAAGTTACTTCCTCTCTGTTGTTTTGTGGGTGATAACTAAAGAAGAGAGATGTTTGGATGTAAGTGTGTTTGCTGGGACTGTGTCCCTGAATTCTTTGACTCTGATCCACTGCCACCCTTCTCTCTTCCTTCACCTATTCCTCAGTGGCCACAAGGTATGTACGCAAGCATTCTTTTTTTAAACAAACTTCTGGATTCATTTATGGGTTTTCCCATTTTTGTTCTCCAAATAGAATTGGACTGTGTACAAATATATTACTGGGAGTAGGAGCTGTTCTTGTTTCCTGTTGTTTTTAACCATCAAATAGGCACCCTTTGTAATTTATATGATTTGATTCATTCCAATGAGAAAGCAAACTACTTATATATCTCTAGATTTAGCATATTTGAAAAGGCCGTTTTTGTTATTTTAATTTTACAGAGATATTCATGAACAAGAGTTTCAGGAAGGAGCATTTTTTTTTGTGTGTGTGTGGGGGGGGGGGGGAGAGTACAGATTTTGATTGAACTACAGAGATAATTGGATCACAATTGACATTTGTTACTATTTATATGTCCGTTTCTATTATTAATTTTGTCTTGCCGTATAGTTTAACCAATTATTTCTTTGCAAATAAATGTTAGTGAATAATATTATCCAATTACGCATCAAGTAAATCTTTATTTCACACATCAATATTAAATCCTTGTCTTGCTATAAACTTGATCTTATGTGGCCATGCTGTCAAATAATTGTGGCTTAATTATCTTATTTATCTAAGCCTGTGACTGATCTGGTCAGGTGGTGGTTTTGGACGTGGAAGAATATGCCTTGGAAAAATAGAAGTTTTGCAAGTAAACAAGTTTGAGAAAGTTTGGAGATGCACACACATGCATGGGAAACCACAGGGTTTCACATTTTATAGACCTTTGGAAATTCCAGAAGGCTTTTTCTGCCTTGGTCACTACTGCCAGTCTAATGACCAACCATTGAGAGGACATGTTCTTGTGGCTCGTGAAACTACCTCTGATGCTGAAGTTGATTGTTCCAATGGTTGTGTGTTAGAATCCCCAGCTCTAGAAAAGCCACTTAACTACTCTCTAATTTGGAGCTTGGACACACACGATGATTGTGTTTACTTTTGGTTGCCAAACCCTCCTACAGGTTACAAAGCAATGGGCATAGTAGTTACTAGCAATCCTAATGAACCTGAAGTTGAAGAAGTTAGATGTGTGCGAGCTGATCTGACAGAAACTTGTGAGACTTCTGATCTATTAGTATCTATAAAGTCAAAATATTCAAAAAATTCATTACAGGTTTGGAAGACACAACCTTGTGATAGAGGTATGTTAGCTAGAGGTGTATCTGTTGGGACATTCTTCTGTGGCACCTATTTTGATTCTCAACAAGTGGTGGATATTGCGTGCTTGAAGAATCTTGATCCTTCCTTGCATGCAATGCCTAATCTGAACCAGATTCATGCACTTATTCAGCATTATGGTCCCACTGTATACTTTCATCCTGATGAGAAATACTTACCATCATCTGTGCAATGGTTTTTTAAGAATGGAGCAGTTTTGTACACAGCAGGTAGTAAGAAGGGTAGAGCTATAGATTATCAGGGCTCAAATTTACCTAGTGGAGGAACAAATGATGGTGCCTTTTGGATTGATTTACCTACAGATCAAGATGCAAAAGATCATCTCAAGAAGGGAAATATAGAGAGTGCAGAACTCTATGTTCATGTAAAACCAGCATTGGGAGGAGCCTTTACTGATATCGTGATGTGGGTTTTTTGCCCCTTCAATGGACCTGCCACCCTTAAAGTGGCATTGATGAACATTGAGATGAGTAAGATAGGGGAACACGTAGGTGACTGGGAACACTTCACCCTTAGAATAAACAACTTCACTGGAGAGCTATGGTCTGTTTTCTTCTCTCAGCATAGTGGAGGTGAATGGGTTAATGCATTTGATCTGGAGTTTCTTAAAGGGAATAAACCTATTGTTTATTCATCAAAACATGGCCATGCTAGCTTCCCTCATCCTGGGACTTACCTTCAGGGATCATCCAAACTTGGAATAGGAGTACGTAATGATGCTGCTAGAAGCAAATTTGTTGTGGATTCAAGCATTAAATATGAAATTGTTGCAGCCGAGTACCTTGGTGAAGGAGTCACCACAGAACCATGCTGGTTGCAGTATATGAGAGAGTGGGGTCCGACAATTGTATATGATTCACGTTCTGAGATTGAGAAGATAATAGATCTGCTTCCACTATTTGTTAGATTTTCTGTGGAGAACTTATTTGAATTATTTCCCACAGAGCTTTATGGTGAGGAGGGGCCAACAGGTCCAAAGGAGAAGGATAATTGGCTTGGAGATGAATATTGCTAGACGCTAGTTCTTTTTCATGCTCCCATCTTTTGCTATTGCCACTGGCCATGCCTCGTGAGCACTTGGTCTTAATACTGTTGCTTTTCATCACTCATTTTAACGGGAAAGTAATCCAAACAGATATAGTAGGATCTTTATATCCTGGTAATAGTATAGTTTTGTGTGTGTCATTTTGGGAGAGGGGAAGAAGTGGAGCAAGACATCATCATCATTATCCATTAACTGTAAAGGAGGTGTACCTCATATAGTAGCAACTTATGTTATTCTAGGTGACGTGTAAAACTATAGTTCTTCGATGTTTGAGTCGTTTAAAGGAGTATGCACAACTCCATAAAGAAAAATTATAGCAATATACCCTAATACATTCTTTATTATTGGTTGAAATATTTTGGAATTCACAAATGGTATGAGTCTCACTTCCTATTTAACGAGTCTTTTATTATTTTGTGATTCTTGATAAATTTCAACCAATAACAAGCGAGTGTTAGAAAGTGCATGGGATTCTAGTGTTCCTATGAACGTGTATAAGCTAGGATTCTTGGTTTTACACACATTTCTGTTCTCTTTGTAAGATAATATTGTTGTCATTGCATGGTGGCAAACATGAAAATTTTCGCTACTGTTCTAAGTACTGCTGGTCATTTAGCATGATTGTGTGTTATTCAGTGTGGTTTTATACTAATTCACTTGCTCTTGTTTGCTTGGAAGTTGAAAACTTTTGTCTGATCTATTCTGCTTGGAAAGTTTACATGTCAAGCCACAACTTCAAAGTATAAATTACCGTAAAACAATGTATCTGGTCAATGTCTTTCTAATTGTCTAACCACGTCATAAATAAGTTTGTTAAAATAATTTGCTGTTTTTTTTTTCTCGTGGAGTGTTATTAAGATTCCTTTATGTCTGGCTTCCATGGAGTGTTAAACTATCTGTCTTTTTAATTTATGACAATATGAAACGTGAGAGAAAAGTGGGAAATAACTTGTTAGGGGAAATACAAACATGATTTATCTCTATACAAGATTATAATTTTTACTAAGTGAAATAGGTAAAATTTATTCATTAGATGATGCACGTTTTATCAAATTAAATTACACTTCACAAATTTTTTCTTAGACATTTTAAATTTTGCATAAGAATTAAGAAAATGATTAGTATTTTAATTTTTCTAAAAAATATTAATTTTTACTATGCCCCTTATTTATTATTTTATTTTGAAAGGGAAAAATACATTCTACCACCAAACAAACATTAATTATTAAGGTTAAAATTAAATAAAAATGATTGTTCATTGATTATATACAATGACAATGAATTATGAACATAATAGAATTGTTAGTGTAAAAAGAAAAAAAGTGAGAGCATAAAATTATGCTTTTTTTTTTATTAAAGTGGTAAGAAGTAATTTTTAATTTTTAAAAGGGACAGTTCAGCAATTATTTTTTATTCACTTATAATAATTTGTTGCTCTTAATCTCATACAATACCTTAAATAAATAAATGACAAGTGATATTGTACTAATCAAATTTCTCTTACTAAAGATTTTGTTGATTATTTTGGTGGTTTTTATATCTTGAAAGAGATTAAGCTCCAACTTATAATTGAAGAATTTTTTATTGAACCCTAAAAAAATTTAAAAATCTACAGTAAAGAATGGAAGAATGTTATTCATCTCTTTAACTGCAGTGTGTATATATGAACATTGAATAAAGATAAACTGTGCATCAAAAAGCAAGCGAAAAGTAGTTTAGATTTAGCTTTTATGTCCAAAGGAACTTGAATAACTGACTAATGGGAGAAGTTTAGTAAACTACTTTGTTGATTATCTGAATTAAATTTTGCTAAAATTGCACAACGATAAAATTATAATAAATAATTTTAAATTAAATTAAACATTTTATAATCATAAACTACATCATAGCAAATTATAATCTAATAATTAATATAATTTATAACAATATGATTATTAGTGTAATTCACACATAATTATTGTTGTATGCAACCAACTACCCAGCCCCCAAAAATGACGCGAGATATTAAAGAAGGGTCTACCCTCGCAAGTACTGCAGCTGTTTCCTAAATTTTATTAAAGGAAAGCATATATCCTTTTAATTAAACTCTAAGTAGAGCCCCACAGTAGCATGCGAAAGCAGCGAAATATTTTTCTATTCATGTTTCGGGAATTAACCAACGACATGATATATTCGTCGAATTTTGAGTGCTCGGAAATTGTTGGGGAGGTTAACAAACACCTGATATCTATGAAATTTGATAAAACTTGACAGATAAGATTTTACTTTCCACATGCCTCAAGAAAAGCCGTTAACTGATCACGGCAACGAAAGATACATTTCTATTTCATTTTTGGGAGGAACATTTCTGTTTCATCCGCAAAAGATTTTGAACATGGAACATTAACATTTACAAAAAAAAAATGATTATATATAAACAGATCAGATTATGTCATCATGTTGCTACATTCCTATCTCTTCTTCAAGTCTTCCCACCTTATCTCCTGGGCGCATTCCCCACAGACTGTGCTGCAACCAAATTTCGTACCCTGACTTCTAAGTGTCAACAGGTGCGCAAGGTTAGTGCATTTCCGCGTCGTGAAACGTCTGCTCAGTTTACTTGGCAAGATGCTTTGGGTTTCTGATATGTGGGGCCTTGCATTCGGCATTTCTGGCTTTGGATCAGGCATAGACTCACCAAGTGGCACTCTCTGCACTTCTTCCCACTCCAGCGATTTTCTATACACCTCCCAAGCCATATCTTGCTCCTCTTTTGATAGCTTTTCCTCTTCATTTTCTTGTAACAGGGATTCATGTTCATGATAATTGGCAATCCAACTGTTATAAAAAATTACATCAGCTTATGTGTCAGATATATCCAAGTTATTCTAACGAAAAAGAGAGCAAATAAATAAAAGCATCCATATTTTACAGAACTGCCTCAAGTCCAAAATTTCTCATCCATTTACTTGACTAAAGAAATTTTTTATTGATGTACATTTAATAGCAGAAATCTAGCCACTCAAAATCTAGCTTAACTAGTGTCTTAATCATACTAAAAACTCCGACCCAGACTGCAGTTGTGACCTGACCTCGTGCAGAAATATACCCAGAAAAATATAATTCAGATTATTTAGGAACAAATGAGTGAATAACTGAAATACACGTGGCTCTGGGCTAGGACCATCAGCTGCAATACTAATTAGATAACTTAGTTGCTTGTTCCTTCCATCTCCCAACTTTCTGACACTCCTAGTCCCAATGGTTGCAACTATTGGAGTAACACTTATAGCAAAAAAGATGACTTAAAATCATCTAGTTTGGTTATATCAATAAGGAGAGGGGATTACATGACTCTTAGTTCAGTAAAAAGGGATCAAGGAGACCTAAAAAAAAACTCGAGACAAAGTTACTAAAAGAGACCTTTTGGTTAATCAGATTTTTAAAAATTTGATTTTTAACTAAGCTCAATGTCATTGTGCGATCCATGTTACTGATATCACCTAGTGGAATGAGGCTTAGTTGTTGGTTGTAATTAGTTTCTTTAAGAAATATTTTTCTAAACATAACATAATTAGAGTCTTTTAGACTAGAATGTAGGCTTGAAGCATGGAAAATCCACAAGTTCACCTTATTCTAAAATTCAATTTTCACACAGAAAAAGTGGGGCAACGATGATCAAATCTTGACTACTTGGTTAGGATGTAGGCTTTATGAATGGTTTTTACATCTAACAATATTTACAAGACATTGTCTTTTATTTTTTGTCAACGAAAAAGTAAGTTGACAAGATAAAAATTCACTTATACGCTTCATTTTTTCATGTACATTCACCATCAAACAAGATCCAGGGTTGAAAATAGAAATGACAGTGGGATCATAATGTACAAGGATACCAAAAATGGTCAAACTGAGAAATACATCATAATCATGAATAGAGATTCAAATGAAATAGTGGCTGTTCAGTCAAGAGAACCTACCGTGGATGGTGTTTGCCAAGTAAGCTTTCCATTAACTTATCAGAATGACTACTTCCATTTGAATGTGGAACTGTATGTTTCAGTGAATGCCCCACCAAAATTGGGTTGTTTTGATCACAAGTATGCCCATTTTCTTGAGTTAGTTCAGCTAAAGTCTCAGGGTTGTCATCATCACCAAACTCAAAGAGATGCAGCATTTCTTCTTTTGATATGGTCCTATGCACCTGTTGTCTATCCACCACCCTAGCTGCAAGCCCCTCCTTTGTTACCTATTAAAACCATTTCTGCGTGTTAGAAAAATTGACAAATGAACAATAAAAGCACATCATGTTGTATTACCTGGCGCTTATATATTTTTTCTTCCATAGTTCCATGAGCCAGCAATCGATAAGCAAACACAGGCTTTGTCTGCCCGTACCTGCAACCATGAATTTTTTTTATTTCAACCACATTGTCTATTGATACCTTAGTTGTCAATCCTGGACAGCAGCGCATTGTGGACGGACTTTAAAATGCTATAGTTGGATAGTGTATCAGGATAACCACTATTTTAAATGGTTTTATAATGATATAAAATATATACATATGCAAATAATTATGTATATAATGCTAAAAAGATATGCATAAATAGCATATGAATACTAATCAACAAAAGATATAAAGAGAAGAAAGTGGATTTTCAGGGAGAACATAACAGAGGCAGTACTATAGAATCATAGAATTGAGAGAAAAGAAAGGGGATTTTGCCAGAGAAGTCATCGAAGACGGGTGACTCTGCTGGATTGGAGATTGTTGCAAAGCAGAACCGAGAAAGGGAGAAGAAAAAAAGTGGGGTTTCATCATTTGTCTCCAGTTGCAAAGCATAACAGCAAGAGAGATGAGAGGATGGGATGTCGAACAGAGAAAGGAAGAAGAAAAACATGGGGGAAAAGTGAGGTTAGGTCTGAAAACTGAGAATATTTTACCCTTAAAACCTCAAGACTGTCATCTAAAGGGGAAAAAGGAAAAATCAGGTTACTTCTAAAAGATTAGAAGTCTTTTTTACCCTTAAACAACCCAAAAATTGCTTCATTTTGAGGGTGAAAAAGGAAAGTTGGTATCTTTTCCTATGGTGGTGCTATTGTGCCACAAAAGGCTGCATTTTGGGTCATGAATGCAGCAGCAGCAGTGGCCATGACAGCAAAAACGCTCCGCTATGCCAGACCTTTGGTCGATCCGCCATGCAATACATGCGCTATTGACAACTATGATTGATACAAATCAAATGATTTGTAAATGATCAAATATAAAATGTGGATCCTTTTATTTTTTATAGGTCTATCAAGAGTGAAACCAGCCAAACTATTCAAATCAAGTGAAGATTTTGATCTGCAAATATTGCAGTATCAATTGCGTATATGACTACCACCAAAGCATCTAATTTGCCATACTGTAAGCTTAATTAAGAGTGAAAGTCTCAACATTCAGAGAATATAGTAATTGCCTAGTGTTAGAGATGTGATTAAAACCATTCATGTCCATCTTACAACTTAAGCTTTTGGGAGAGTTGGTTCTTGACATAATATCAGAGTCACTGTGATTAAATGGTCTAGTTCATCCTCATTAGTCCCATTCTTCTGAATACAAGTTGAATTAAGTGTAAGGTAGATAGGCCTATGCATTGAGCATCGTACATACTTCAAGCCTAAAGGGCTCTTGTACAACAGATTACGTTAGAGATAATAAAATCCATTCATTTGCCTTATTTACAGTTTAAACCTCTAGGAGAGTTACTTCACTATAATTAGCATTAACTACGAGAAAAGAACCCTATATGGCAGCTCCTTTTATTAAGTTTCATTCCGTAGGATAAAAGAAGAATTCTATTAAGATAAAATAACTATGAATGCAAAAGAACTAGAGGATAAGAGATGCTCTTTTAAAAACAAATAGACAAAAGAAATAAAAAAAAAAATTGTCAAGAAAATCTACCCAGTCCCTTAACATATCTGTAAGGGAAACCCCTCTAAAAAGACAATGAGCTTTACACCAAGTAGAAGCCAAGCCCCGTATCTTATGTTAAAGAAGCTGCTCACCAGAAAAACTCTACCATAAGGTGAAACATGACATCAAATTGTTAACTTTTCCATTATCCACATCCCTCCAAAATGTTATCTGATTGCTCAACTAAGGGTACCAAAGTACACTTTATAACTAATGTTTCCATCAGAAGAAAGCTCATTTTGATTCAGGGAAAAACAGGAGCTTACCTCCATGCTCGATAGATAGCCTGGAGATCATATGTTGGATTCCAAGAACCATCAACTATAACAACCCGATTAGCTGCATGAAGATTAATACCCAAAGAGCCTGCTCTAGTTGAAATCAGAGTGCATTTTACCCTCCTATTCAAAGGCTCATTAAATCTCTCAACAAGCTTCTGTCTTTCAGAACTCTCTGTCCTTCCATCCAACCTAGCGATTGAATCATATCAGAAAATAATAAATAAAAGAAAAAACAACTTAAAATAGGTTTCATCTAAATTTCAAACTAAATGTTTCTAGATAGAACATAATATATGCATTTTGAAATGAAATCAATGCATGAGAGAAGAAAAATATGAAACAGTGAAAAGCATACAGACAGACTTATAAAAGGGAAAATAATAAACGAGTAGAACAAACAAAAATATAACAAGTTTTATATTTGTGGTTTTATCAGAATATTTCCAACCAAGCAACATCTAGATCAAATCCTATCTACTTGAAACTTGAAAGTGAAAAGGAAAAAAGATGAAAAATTTGCAAACTACCAATAATAATTTGAGCAAAGACAATAGAAAGATCAATACAAGAGGGTGTCAAAAAATAAACATTAGTTCAAAATAATAAGCAGCACTTAACACAGAAAAAAAAGACAGGCTATCCCCCGATTCTTAGAACAATAATACCTGCAGATGAAGCAAATTCAAGAAAGAAAACATACATTTCCAACCACAAAATATAAGTTGAAAAAACAGTAAATTAAAAACAAATTAGAAGAATAACAAGAGTAGCAGCAAGTTAAACAGGCTTTAAAACATTACAACTCACCTATACCAATCTTTTCCCTTCTTCCAAAACTTCCCTCGTTTGCCACGTCGGGGCATCCTTGAGAGATGAAGTTCTATGAGATCTAGTGTTGGAATGCTCTGACTAAAAACTAACACCTTATCGCCCACATCAGAACTCATGGTTAGTATCTCTATCAGCAAAACCATTTTGCCACTGTGATCAAGCTCTTTATATGTTTTCCCATGAAGAAGGTCATTCCACCAACCCTGGAAATGGATTAAATAAGCATCATCATCATTGAAAGCATGCTGGCTAAAAGCAAATTTCATATTAAGTAATCTAATTTACTATTAATGCAAAGTAATAATACTATATTAAAAGAAGAAGACCAAAGCAGCCAAGTTTGAAACTCCTTTCTTGAAATTCTAATTTAAATTGAAAGGATCATATAAAAATTATATCATAATTAATTTATTTTGTTTCTTCTCATACCTTTATAAAAAAGCCATTACCATCCTTCCTTTGCAGCAATTCATTAGCATACCTCATCTTCTCTGTAAGGTCATGAGTTGTTAAAAAATACCATAAAGAATTAAATTCATGATAAGAAGAACAAATGACAAAACAATAAAGAAAACTCAAAAATATTCAACAGATTATGTACCGAAGAAATATGAACATATGTTTTATTACCAGCTGAGTACTTCCATATATATGTTGCATTGCCTAATTATTAACAACCAAAATCACCTGAAATTCTTCCGTCAAAATTTTATTTGGCAGTAAGCATGAAGATATCAAAAAACAGTAAAGACATTCATCATGCTACACAGCCATTTGGAAGTGCTTTAGGGTACATCTGAGACTAAGCCTGGAGACCAAAATTTTATTGTTCACATATTAAAACATTGCTTGAACTATGTTTTCAAATTTCCTTTACTACTCAAAATAACCACCAATAAAATGGCTAAGGCAGTAAGATCATCAACTTAGCAAAGCAAAAAAAAACATAAATTGCCAGTGTAAGAACTGGTATCAGTATCACAAAGAAATCATGTTATATATTGCTAACAAAAATTCCTAATGCAATATCATTGTGGCAGAGTGGAGAGATACGAATGACAGTATACAGATTTGGCTCTTCGAGAGGCCAAATCTCGCCAAAATACAATGATCTCACTAGATGATCAATTCTGGTTTCCCTTTTTTTAATTTATACTGCACATTTCCTGCCCTAGCTACATATAGCCAATTGATTACAGATGTTATGGCGTTTACAATTAGTTTTGATTCTAGAAAGCTGTTATGACAGTTACAATTAGTTATGAACTTTTATGATTCTTTACAGTCGTATTCTTCCTGATATTTGTTCCTGACATAAAGCTTATGAATTATATAAATTGACAAAGTTAAAATATAAAGCATATAATTATCTTTAAGGGCATATAGGAATAATACAGAAAGGTTTCATATCCCTAGCTCCTCACACACTAAGCACACAAAGGTAGTGCATTGAAGTAGTTGATTTATCGATTTAAAAGTTCTAAAAGTTCCTATTAAGGAAAACCTATGCTTTGTAGTTCTTTTTTTTATTTTTTAATTTGTACCTCCTAAAACATGCTAAGAAGATATAAAATTTTGGTCATTCATCATAAAAGAAACCTGGCTAATGATAATTAAAGACAACTGAACTACATTCATGGTTTCATACATTTCAGAAGCAGTGGTTCCCAGATATAAGCCCCTGCTAACTCAATAATTGTGCAGAAACAAATATAGAGGAATCAATAACAGCTTTCAGTTGTCAGCATTTACAACAAAACAATTGTACAACTCAAAAAGTTAAATTAATCTTATTTAGGATTTAAGATGTCATACAGCATGGGAAACATATTTCTAGAGATTCAAAGCATACTACTAATAATAATTGATTATAAAGAACAAAAACACATCCCAGAAAAAGCACTCACTGAAATTAGAGGAAGCCTTCAACCAAATAATAATTTTCTTAATCAATAACAAAAAGAAACATTAGAAGTAAACAACAAGAATAGGTGCCTATATATCCTTATCCATCAAGATTACCTCCAGCGAGCACATTATAATCAGAATTTTCGTCACTTGAACTATCATCCACAAGAAAATTCTCGACAGCATCTTCATGTTTAACATAGTCCTTGTCTTCTTTTGTCAATTGCAAGATCCCAGGGTGGTTCCATATCTACTACAGACAAAAAAATTCTTTACCATCACCATATACTAAAACAAGATAAGAAACAACCACAATTTAACAAATGCCCAAGAATTAGTGACAATTCAGGTTAGGCTATAAGTCAAAAATTTAAGAAAATCATACTTAAATTAATAGAAAATAACTGGGAAATTTGACAAATGTGAAATCACATCAATACATTCTTTATTGATATTTAATATTAATTTTACCTAGCACCAATTGATAATTAGGAGGAGAAATATGTAAACCATGCAAACTCTAATATTTATCCAAATTTTACTCAAATCAAAAACTATTACCAACTCCCCCCCCCCCCCCAAAAAAAAAAAAAGTCTTACACTCTTCCCTTCCACAGCCACCAATAGAAAAAAGGTTAATAAAAAACACCTGGCTTCCCTAACATGTCCCTATTTCTTGGAACCACCTACTTTTATCTCTTCAGGTTATTATATTATAATATATACTAAGTTTTCTCAGACAATTAAATTGACTACCAAGTTCCCGAAAGGCATATACTTACCCTAGCCAATGCCTGGTACCCAGCAAAAAAACATCTCTTTCTTAACTTGTCAGGATGCACCTGGGAACTAGTGAACCCATGCACATCAAGGAATCTCTTGTACAATTTTCTCTGTAAGGGAGATAGCTTGACAGTTATCACAAAGACAGTTTTGGGTGGTAGATCCTTCTTCACCACATTCATGTCCATTCTTTGAACAAATCCTTTTAACTGTTCATAGAGGATATGAGACCTTTGGTTCATAATTTTAACATCAGTCAGTGTTGAATTGGTGTGTTGTCCATTCTCTATAGGATTTTGGAAGCTGCACAATAATGAAAACATTTTCTGACACATGTATATAATATATCACAGTAAAAATCAGAACAGTGAAAGAAAAAAAAAGCCTTGCCGGTTTCGAAATTCATGACTGCTCCCCAGAAAACCTTCTCTCACAAAATCAACCATCTATTTCAGACAAAATGCAAACAAGTCAAGGATTGGATACAATAACTAAATGGTCATCCAATTTGTAACTCTATGCAAACTTACACAATAATATTCCATAAGATTGTTTTGAAGAGGTGATCCGGTAAGCGCAATTCTTCTCTGGCATTTTACTTGTTTCAAGGCTTGAGTTATGTCAGCCTTTGTATTCTTTATCATATGGGCTTCATCACAAACAAGAATGTCCGGTCCTTCCTGCAGTGGCAATGTAACATTCAACAATTTCAAAGGGATGCAAATTACATGAATTAGAATATTGGGATTATTCAAGTTTTAGGAGTCTTAATCCATTTACTATTTTGATGCTGCATTCCAAAACTAAGCAACTACATTGTTCGAAATCCTGTGTTTTCGCACAGTGTTAGTTTCAAATGGCTGTCTGACTTTTCCAGTGTGCATGTCCACTCTGCTGTGGCTGACATATCCAATTTTCTTTTCCCTGGGCATAATCCTTTCCGAACAATGAATCAGAAGGTGTGGATCTGTAGGACCATTAAATTTCTGGTCACCACTTTCCACATGCTACCTACATGACTAATCTCTAGGAGTTTTTTGTTAACATGCTGAGTGCTGATGTATCTTTCCACTCTTTCTGGCCATTTCTTCTCTAGGTCTGGTCTACTTGCTCATTTTAGTCATGCCCTTTTTCTAACCAGAATCTCACCAGTTTCATTGCTGGAAAATTCATCTGCTGTTGCTATCTATGTTTCTCCAGTTTTGTCTATTTTGCATGTGCTCTTTTCCAAGTTTCAACACAGTGCTCATTTGTCACTCCAGCAGCCATCTAATGTTTAAGATACCTTAGTTTGTTGTGTGGTCTCCAGCTAGCAATGCTATATGGCCAGAGAAGCCCAACATATTTTTTTAAAGCATATTACATATTAGCTCCTGTATTTTGGAACTTTTTTTACCAAGCCCAATGGCTTTGTATGATCCATTTAGCCGACCTCACCTAGTAGGATAAGGCTTGGTTGTTTTCAATGAACTCCCCTCAAATATTTTTGGGTCACTTAACCTCCCCTCAACTTTGGTTTAAAATTAGAAAACAGTTATTGTTTATTTTTCACATTAACCACATGTTCAACAATTTTTAAACCTACATCCCTAAATTTTACTTTTCATCACCAAAGAATCTACAAAAAATGAACTTGACAGGGATAGAATGTTTTAAACTATTTGAGAATCCTTTGAAAAAGCACTTTTATGATATGGATTTTTTTCGTAAGCTTTTCTTTTTCTCGCTTTTCAGAAAATCTACTGAATTTTTTTATGATTTCACTTCTTTTTCTTCAAGAAAATTACCTATATATCATAAAAATTTTAAACATTTTTTAAATTTAAAAAGCACTTAAAAAATCACAAAGAAACAGGCCCAAGAATCACTAGCATATATTTAATAACACATTTTAGAATATTAGTCAACTATAGTTATTGTTGCCATTTATATGTATAAATTATCTGTCATTAGTCCAGTAGTCCTTGATTAGTTCTTCTACTTAATGCACTCATACTATAAATAAGAAGATTATGTGTAAGTTACATAGGCCCTGTTTAGGTAAACTTCTAGAGAAGTCTTTATAAGAAAAAAAATAGTATAAAAATAAATAAAATTTCTCCCATAAGTTAGAAACAACTTATACTCTATTTTTTGAGAAGTTTCGGAAGCTCTCTTATTTAGCTTCTCTAAAATTTGAAGAGATAAGTTGTTTTTAACTTATGAAAGAAGTTTTATTTATTATTTTATACTAATCTTTTTCTTCTATAGGAACTTTTCTCTATAAGTTCATCCAAACAAGGCCATAATCAATTTTCTCTGTTAAAGGATAGGGGTTATTTAGTTTGGATTAGGATAAGTTTGTTTTATCCTTACGTTCTACTGTTTATCCTTACAATAAGTTTGTTTTATCATTATGTTCCTATTTTGATATCTGAGAAGTTGAGATAGGTTTGGATTAACTTTATTTCCTTTTTGCTCTCTCCTCTCTGTCGATATATTTTGTAATGTGCTTATGCTGAACTTATGAGAAAAAATATCATTATTTTCTGTATATTTTATCATTCAAACACCTTTTGTTTCAAATATTTTAAGACTTCTCAAGTAACATCAAGATAGTTGAAAATAATGCCTAATGTGTCACTATGAAACTATAAATCAACCAATCCACAACAAAAAGAATTATAACCTAACAAGATGAAGAGAAGCTATTTCAACAATTTTACCTGCAAAGCATGGCAAATTTCTCTGGCCATTTGTCGGTCTTTCACATGCTTCCCAAAAGACAAATTTCGGAAAGCACTATAACCAATCAAAAAGACACCACCTTTAGCTCTCCATTTTGCAAGCAATTCTGCCCTCCTATCTCTGGGAAAGGAAATTATATTAATAAGATTATGAGTTGAATAAAGTGGTTGTCTTGAAATTTGAAAATATGAAAAAAAAGTGTAGGGGCCTATAGCCACATGGATACAGCAATTACGCACTATGCAGTTGTTATTACAGGTTTTTTTATGTCTTGTAAATACCAGAAACTTTAGAACAGAGAGACAGTAGAAACAAATAGAAACTATAAAAATAGGTTCTTCAAGAGATCTCTCTCCTCCCAGACCTTGCCACTCAGTTCTTAGGTACCTATTTCCATCATCCCCATTTACAGTATATCCCTATACTATGGCCATCCCACACATCCACCGCTGCATATCCATGCAGATAGTTACCAGCACATCCTCATGCCTTCCATACTAGAGTCTTCAACAATCCTGTGTTCTCTCCCCTTTATATTTTTCTTTTATAGACTTTAGCATTATGAAGGTATTTATCAGTGTCAGAATGTTTAATTTGCAATAATTAATCCCATCTCATAAAATAGAAAAAAGATAAATCTCTATATATTTTTAATCTTTTGATATACTCCCAAAAAAAAAAAAAAAAAAACAAAAGAAATCTACCTAGAGCAAACAAACAACAGAGTCAAATGCAGATATAACAAGACATCCACACACTTTCTCTTATCTTGCAAATCAGAATTTCCATGGAAAATAATTAAATGAGTATTCATATGGCACTATATTACAAATCATATAAAATATGCACACAGAATCTATTGACTGACAGGTCCTAAAAATTTCAAGAGACACATTAAATTGAAAGATTCTTCACTAGGAAATAATTCCAACAAATGAACTGATTTGAGAGAGAATTGAGGTTTCAACAAATATGCAAATTCCAATAAGTAGTTGATGGGGAACAAATTGCCAAATTTACATAGAATGATGCTTGTAAATGTTAAAAATGAAATGCCATGCCAGGATAAGTTTTATATGATTATTTATTATAGATGGAAGTGTGTATTGTAATATCTAGTTATGGGTGAAATATTGTAACTTGGCTTGGCTAGAATGCTGCTAGACATCTTAACTCTTATGAATAACATAATGATGTCAACAAAATAAAAGGCAAACCTTGGTACATCTTCCAGCATGTAGACCCTCAGTGGCTTTATCTCTGAAGGTCTCCACTTCATGAACTCCTGCCGCCAATTGTGTAGCACATTGACAGGTGTGACTATGAGTGCGGTTCTTAACCCCAAATCAACACATCTCATTGCAGTGTACAAGAAAGCTATCACCTAAAGTTCCAGCATAATTGATCATCAGACCAAAATCACCAAACAGATAAAGAAAAGAAAACCAACCAAAAATGTTGCAATTATTCACAACAGAATAAACAGAACTACAATAAATTATCCATTTTACCTTTGATCCTGTGATGAGATGTATTCATAAATTTATCTTTCTCATCTCATATTTATCCTTTAGATGAATAATTTATACTGGTAATTTTGGAAATTTCAAATACTAGAGGCCATAGGAGGAATTCCCATTTATAAAAGTACAGAAGTTCAGCTTCATTGCAGGTTGCAGCAATTTCCATGGCTCCCATGCAAATGCTGGATGCAATAGTTTTTCAATGCTGTGGGGCGTTTTATAGATGTGAGCCTTGTTTCTGCTCCAGTGCCATGGGTATTGCCATTTTAAAATATTAAACTACAGAACCCGTCACCTCCCCATCACTATCATCAAATACTATTAAATTAATTTCAAGCACACTTCCTTGTTATTCAATTTTTATTGTAATAAAAACAAATGTGGATCAACAAACACATATTACCAATGCCTTTCCTTGAAAATTAAAAGTCATTTTGGCTACATCTAGCAGCCATCAGGCTTATTAATTTTAAATGTGAATTTACCATTTTGTCAACTGTCAGTCAAACATAAATCAACAAGTTAAAAGTAAAACACAACATAGATATCTCCATTAAGGCTCCAGACTTTACCATAATTCTCATTCATGTAATCTTCATGTCTATCCTTTTTATAATCTGTCTCTTCTTTTCCTTTGATTATTTTCTTGACTACCAACATATGCCTTCTCTTCTCTTTATATATAAACAAATGAGAATCCCCACATATATTGGCCCAGGACACCACATTAGAAATTCAATTAATTTGGGACAAGTCTTGTAAGACTACATTGGGCAACAACCCCCCCCCCCCTCTTCTCTCTAAGTTTTTAAAGCAACTGCAATCCAAGGGACTTCAACTTAAGACCCTTGACCTCGATTAAACTAAAGCAGCTTCAACTAGCTGATCTACACATAGTTTGATTGGGGAGATGCTCTTGATGGCATCCCAGTAATTATTCCAAATAGCTAAATTGACGCAATAATTACTTGTCCAGTGATAACTGAAAAATGTACAGACATTAATTATAGATTTCAGTTTAGTAAAAAGTTTGGGATACTTTCCAAATTGTGGTCTGGACATTACAAATAACTTTGCTGCCTGCCACAGCCACAACTGTTTGCAATGATGAATGAAGAAGCACAGCATACAGACAAAACAGTCATGTAAATAGCAGCCATGTAATCTAAAGATGGTAGAGGGGAAAAAGACCAGGTTTGTCCAGTAAATTATTAATCAATACACAAGCACACAGAGTAAATGACCCCTAGTCGACCATGTTATGAGGCTTGCTGCCAATCAGCATTGCTGTCAGCAATAGTACTGCAGGGGTATTTTGATACATCTTGCATATCACCTAATGCTCAGAATATGTATTTAAATGCACACATTTAGATTAAGGCTACTCTATCTTTACAAAAAAATATATATATATATACAATTAATAAGAAATATGTTGCAAGAATTACAAAAACAGAAACAATGACAGGGAAGAAACAGTAGCTAATAACTGAAGAATAACAATCCAGTAAAATACTACAAACCATATCTACATCATATCAGAAAATTGCGAACAGATATTGCAAAAGGTTGATGATGATTATTTTAAAAAATGAACCAAAAAGGAGAAAACAAGATAAGCAAGGTGTACTTAAGCAAGCACAGTATATCAGTTTCACAGAAAAGACATTGATCTCTCACATGTATTGTCAACAAAACAGAATTCACTCTTCAATTATATCCACATAATAAAATCTCCATAATGACTGCAATACCTGAAAAGTTTTACCAAGGCCCATTGTGTGAGCTAGAATACATCCAAGACCTTTATCCCCAGACTTCACTTTTCTGATTGACTGTATTATATTTTCCCACATGAATCTTATTCCAGCAATCTGCAAATATGTAAAATTGTAGGAAAAAAAAAATCCAAAAAGACCAATGAACTCCAAGTAAAAACTTCAAAGATGCTGGAAGAAATGACAATAAAAAATTCAAATGAAGGTACAGAAGATGAAAAACTGGTAAGATTCATTTCAACTTCTTACTCCCATAGTATCCCCAATTTGCTTGTTTAGCATTTAAAACTCCCTTTCCAAAACATGTGCTTAAAAGCAAATGAAGGCATATCAAGTTCGAAGATGAAGATTATTCATGCTATCTGATTACAATTGCTTGGCATAGTGCTAATAAAGTTTAAGTCAAAACAGGTACTCAGAGCGTCATAAAATCTTCCAGTTAGAACATCAGACAAAAAGTGCCAGACTGACATACAGAAATACCAAATTGACAAGCAACATATATATGTATTTATTTTTCATTTTCATCCAATGCTATGTGATAAGCAAATAGCATAGTTGATGTTCAAACTGAGATGTGTACTTATGACCTAAACTGAATCCAAACAAGGTTTGTTATCCCAAAATAAATGCAAACTGGAGATAATCTTGGTCAGAACAGGCCTAAGATAAATAAAGAACTAAGTATGAATGTATGATGAAAAATTCAAGCAGGAAAGAGAAGTTGTATTCAGACAAGGATATCAAGAGGAAAAGGAACAGCAACTGGCTAAAAAATCAAAAACCTGATGGGCCTTCAGCTTAGCTGAGATGCTAGGAGGAATTCTAACAGCTTCTTCACCTTTCTCCCTGACAACATTCACTATGTACCCTGCTAGCGCATCACCAAGAACTTCAATGTTTGCACCTTCTGATAAATTCCTATTTGATCCAGCAGAGCTCATCTCAATTGATGAGGCAGAGAACTGCACTCGCAAAGACTTTAGACGTTCCTGACGTTCCTACAGAAGTGGAAATAATAATGAACTAATTTGACTGGCAAAAGCAGTTTTGGCAAAACAAAAACCTTTACAAAATTCACACCTTCTCAATTGCTATCTTCTGTTTTGTCTCTTCTCCTAATTCAGCATCATCAAGTATCCTCCGAATCTTCTTTTTGGGTCTTCGCTTCGTGCTGCAGAAAACAACACAAAAGATCTGATAATGAACATCCCTGTAATTCAAATACAAATTGATAACCTGCTGTAAAGTCTAAGGAAGAATGAATTAGATTGGCACAACAAATGAATGCATGTGAACCCGAGAATGCCTTGCACCTTATTTCATATCAAATGAGCTAGCTACATGAATTCTAATTCAGAAAAACTTGAAAAAAGATCCAAGACGAAACAATAGAAAAGACAATATCATTTAACAGAAACCCATACAAATCAAATAACTTGGCCAAATTGAGATACACATTCATAAAATCAAGACAGAGAAAGCAAAATGTTTTTCAAACCACCTTTATTTTCTGAAACATCATGAGAATATACCAATACAAGAATGACCATAGGGCAAAAAATATGTACAGATGAAAGCATTACTAACTCTCAGCCAATGGTATTCATTGCTAAGTCTCAACTATAAAAATGTCAAAAACAGTTAATAAGCATACACAATCGAAAAGCCAAAAAAACTACATATAAGCCAAGGCATTGGAGGAAATCAAATAATCATATGCAGCTTAAAAACACCATCAGTAGCCTCATGACCAGAAGCACAAGGAGTAAATCATGATTGCTAATTAGAAATTCAAGAAATTATGTTCAAGCCAGAAGAATTTGAATCAAGAGAGCATGTCAAGAGCTGTCAATATATCAAGCCTGTAAATGATGACTTCACCTGATTGTTACATTAATCTCTGCATCCGAATCATCTGAATTATCTGAATCACTACAAGAACTGGAAACTGTTATATCAGCAGACCTCATTGCTTTCTCTAGTTGCAATGATAGACTTTGCAGAAGATTTGGAGAGCAACAATAACAATGCCAGCCAGTGGCCTGAGCTTCAGCAATAAATTCTACACCAAGATTCTTCCTTAAACATTTCGTGCAGAATAAAATCTTGCATGATTTACAGCTAACTAGCTCATTCCTTCCTCCACACCATGTACAATAACCCTCAGAGCAATCATGTCCTAGATCCTGTGACAAGGAATTAGCTTACAATTAAATTTCAAATGATGGAATAAGAAAGAAGATTATCTGCTCAGAAGGACTTTCAAACCCACTCAACTATACCAAACTTAGACCTCGAAGAAAACAATGTCCATCCCCATAAACAAACTAATCACAATACAACCCAATCTCAGGAAAATCAAATAGTTTGCAGCCAGCGGGATTACTCTTATAAGTTACAAGAATTTTCTGTATAAAATTAAACATAAACTTGAAATAATATTTTAAAAAGTTACTGTCACTATCCTTAATCTTATATTTTCCATGATTCATGTGCAGAAGAAGGCAGCACTTTTTTTAATTTAGGAGTAAATGATACTTATATTCCTAATTCTTATTCTAAGTGTTTAATTACTGAAATAACTAAGCATTTAAATTGAGTTTTGAGCCTCCTTGACAGATAAAAAAATGTAAACATAACATGTGATTGAGAATCTGTGAAAAATTAGCATACCCCAAATGAGGGTAAGCCATCAATCAACATTTAATGAAACACATTACTCAAAAATTTAGAACAATATTACTTTTAGGTTGTTAAATGAATAACTTCCTCCTCCTTGCCAAACACAAAAAAACATATTTACCACTATATATTTAAAATAGAAGCTTGTATTGGAATGGGAAGGGAGGGCCAATACCTAATGGATTCAGACCAAAAAACCTGTTATTGAATTTTATTAACAGTAAAGCCTGCTTTTACTAATATACTAAAACTGAAATTTGCAATTATGCACCAATTATTACTCAGAAATCTAATTTTCAAGAAAAACCTTAGTAGCTTGAGGCTCATGTACCTTTGCATGTGTCTTTTCTTTCAAAAAGGAATTGCAATCTCCACAAATAATCACTTTCAAAAAAGGGTGTTGATACACTTGAAGAGCCAATTTATCACAAACTGTGCAGCAAAATTTTCCATCTGGGCACTCCAAAGGAAGAGAATCAGCACCATTGTTACATAAATCTTCTTTTGTCTTGGATTGATCCTCAGGGGTATTGCAATCTAATTTATCTTCAGCGGCATCTGCTTCATCATCACCATCAATAATTATAGTCCGGCACTTTTTATTATCAGTATCAAGCTCACCATCATTTACACGTTTGATTCCCCTCTGATCAATAGTATCATCCAACGAAGATTTGGCTGGGTCTGACAAATTGCCAGTACTTGTAGGCTTTTCTTTGTCAAGATGACAACTCGCTTCAAAATCTTCAATTTTATCATTCTCCATCTTCCCATGCACAACCTTGCCATTGTCAGGGACACTTTTCCCATTATCACCATTTCCTTCCTTCTTAACAGGATTTAAATGATCAACAGATGAAAGCCTCTGTACGTGGTTCTCCATTGCCAGGATATGGGAGCTCATTTCACACTGAAATTACATTCAGATTTAGAAACAGGAAATGATTATGCCCAAGGAACAAAACCAAATTATTTCAATCATCAATAAGCCACATGATTTTGTACAATTAGGTGCTAATATTCAATTATGAATACCAAGAATTACTTGTTCTTTATGCAATATACAAGATAATTAATTTGGGTAAACAATACCAAAATAATCATTTGCATAAGAGATCTAAAAACAGCATCCTTAACAAAAAAAACTTAACAGTAATGTCAGACAGTTTCTAGGTCCAGAGAGGGAAAGAGAAAGTCATAAACCCACCTGTTCACTTTTCTTTCGATGTCTCCTATGTTTCAAACGGATTTGAAGCTTCCTATCGGCAATTGCATCATCCTCTTCTTTGACCTATCAAAAAAGAGCGCAAGAAAATATCAACTACTTCCAAAACATGGGAGACACAGTAACATGAAGTAGAGAATTTGCAAAAGATGTAACATGGAATACCCTTGTATGTACTGATGTATCAAACCCTGGTTTGGTACATGAGTGATTATTTGAAAGGCCAAATATCAAACACCAAAACTAATTTGACATTTAGGTGGTGACCGCAAGAAGATATGTCATTTGTAGTCATAGCATAGTTATCAATCTCATAAACTCGTGCATAACGGCTGAGCCCAAAACGTTATAGCAAGATAGCACATCATGGGATGGTTGTTAATACTTGTTATTCTAAATGCTCAAAATTTATACCATACATACACATAAATGTTCAAAATTTCTAAAACATAAATTACTCAATTTAAAACAGAGAAAAGAATCAAGTATGATTGTCACCAGAAATATCCCTGAAGATGGGTGGGTGTCAGTCACACAAAATAGAGACAAGGGTGGATGGGAGCTGGTCACAACATGGTGTCCCAAAGTAGAAGTGTTGGACACTACATCTGATTAGGGTTTTATTATGTACTGAAAAAGGGGGAAATCTCAACTTTGCCCCTAAAAAATATCCCACAAAACGCGTTGTTTTGAGGGGAAAACTGGGGTTTTGTAAATGTCTCACCCTAGCACCACTAACTGCAGTGGACACTATTTGAAAATGAACTGCTATTCAAACTCAGCTGCTGCCCCTCACTTCTATGCTGCAATAGCACTTCTACAATGCAACATCAATTGGGCCACACCCCCACACCATGAAGGCAATGTTGAGAACATAAGGAGGACATGAAGTAATGATAAGAATAGACACTTCTTTTCTAAAAGGCTATCTTAAGAAGGCAGGGAAATAAAAGAGCAGGAGAACTAGTAGATCTCCTAAAAATAGTATCATAAATGCTTACCCAAATAAATAAATGATTTAAAGCTAAATAATTAGTTGGTTCCAAATAGGAAATATCAAAAAATGAAAAAGAAAATTCTAGGCTTTTCAGCAAGGACTGAGTTCAAACAAACTCAAGACAAATAATAAGAATGGTATCCACAATGAACCAAAGCAGAGTCCAATTTGGTAATGAAATCTCAAATTGAAGTATTAGAGGAACAAGAAAATAGAAGTTAACCAAGACAATAGCATCCAAGTCAATGACTATCAAAGTTGGATTTTCTATTCACACGACTAAGAATATATGGCTGGCTTATAGATACAGCTTTCTTAAGAATAAAAAAATTCCCATCTATGTGTATGATTGCTATATTAGATACAATGGAAAATGAATAATGAACTCTCAGCATGAAACAATTTTAGTCAGACCTAGGGCACATAATGAACAAATTTATAATAAATAAAGAAACATTAACAAGGCTGTCAAACAATGTCTAAAGAAAATATCTTAATTTCAGAAACATGATCAATTAAAAAGGACTAAACAATCATATTGGTCCTTGAAAATGTAATCTTTAAATTATTCAAACCCATTTCATGTTATTCATCAAAACTCAAAAAGTAAAAGCAAGACTAAAAACATGTTTGGCAACAATTTAATTTCAGGTAAAATCACCTATTTTCACAGGCTCTGTTAGGAAGCTGACCAGAGAAAAACAATCACTTTTTCAAAAATAAGTTAATCCAAATACATATTAAAATGTACACTTCAATAAAATCGGGGAGTTTGTCGTCAAGGCACCCTTTCAAGGACCAACATCCAATTTTACTCAACAAATAACTAATCACAAAATAATAACAAACCTTTTTATATTGTCTCCTTTGCTCATCAGAAAGATCTAGTTCTCTTTCATTTGCAATGGCAGCTGCAATAAATGGATCAGTGGAATTGCCATCAACATCATCAATCTCCTCCACCTAAATAAAAGGGATTTCCAGAAAGAAAAAGGTAACTAAGATAATGAACACACATCACCTATGGTGAAAAACATGTCACATGAAACAGCTTCTATAATGCATCAAATTATGATTAAGACTAGAAAATCAAGAATTTAAGAAAGCATTGAAAAGAGAAAAATTCCAAATAGCAAAAAAGTTAATCAATTTGCCAAACATCTATAATGAAACCATCCAAAACAGGACTAAAGATGATTGATGAACCATTAAACAACAATTTAATAATCATAGGATCCATGCACACAACAACAATGTCAAATTATGTGGCAAATTTACAGACTTAAACCAGTATTCAAGGTAAGTAGCAGGGAAAGAAAAGGTAATGTATGCTATGGTCAGTAAAACCTAACAATTGATTTTTGTAAATTCACCACATAATTTGGCACTTCCTGATGTCTATTCATAAATATTTGTATGGCACTACATACAGTCCAAAACATCAAGAATTAAAATCTAGGAGACAACAAATTTAAAGAACAGGGAAAAATGGAAGGATGAATAAGGTCCAATTTGAGTAAACTTCTAGAGAAGTCCTTAAGAGGATAAAATAAATAAATAAAACTTCTTTTTTGAGTTAGAAATAACTTATGCTTCTCTAATTTTTGAGAAGTTCTCTCATTTAACTTGTCTAAAATTTGAGAAGATTCATTTTATTCATTTTTTATACTGATTTTTTCTCCTATAAGACTTTCTCTAAAAGTTTATCCAAACTAAGCCTAATAGCATTAGCTAGCTCCAATAATTATTCCTTCTTTCCCTTCATTTGATTCCCTTGACACATCATCCAATAAAAGAAAGCAATAAACACAGTCAAAAGTATATTTATCACCTCATCAACACCTGGAAATTTGAGTCCCATCAAGGCAGCTTGCTGTGGAGTGCTGGCCAAATAAACTGAAGCCCAAGGCTTACTGCCAAATGAAGCATCAATGCCACTCCCATCAGAAACTATTTTATTGAACAGATCCCAGTCCCCCTCAGTTTCTTTCTTCACAGGCTCCTGGGTTTCTTCACAAAGTTTTTTTTGGAGGAAACCACTGGCACCCTCTTCCAGTAATTTACCGTGTCGCCTGAACCAACACCACAAATCTATGAGATCATATTTGATTGTTGCCAGATCCAATGCCACATAATAACCATACCTTCTAACAGGTCTGTTTACTTGTAGATATTTATCAGCATCAGCAACTGACTCAGCAATTTCGGCAGTTGCCAAAGACCCAACCCAATGATTCCTCCTTTTCCATGCTTCAGTGGAGCAAACATTAGGAGCTTCTCTTTCAATGTGCTTATAAAGACTTGGAAGCTCAATCCCAGCCCCATCAAGTTGCTCCTACTCAAGAAAATATAAAATAAATCACAGAAGACAACATAAGTACATTTAAATAAAAGCAGAATTTATAACAGCTCCTAGAAAATTGCTAATTTATATCAACCAAACAAAAATCCCAACTTGGAATGTCAAGATATAGCTTAATTTATTAAAAAAAAAAGCACGAACACATAAAGGGAAGCTATTTGCCCAAAACTTCAACTATTGTGGTCTAGGGAGGGTTAAATGCATGTAGCCTTAATGGGGTGACATAGAGTCATAAAGAGCAAGGAAGACAATCAATAGGTGATCTGTTGGTGGTTCATGGAGGTCCAACGACAAGAACTCAAGCTAAGAGAGTTAAAGAGGCCATGGATAACCTAATTGCTAACACTTGTACAAATTTGGCACAAATTGCAAGGTGTTGTCTAGAGTCTACTTTGAAAGAACCTTCGGATGAATAAATGCAGCCTTTTAAGCTATTAGTAAGTGCAACAAAGTTCAATTACAAGTTGGCCTTTATATGGCAATTACATGGTCAATAATACATACAAATTTGTCTTGTTATAATTAAAAGCTAAGCTAACCAATTGTATTTTGTGACTTTCTGCCATTAAAAGTTGCTAAAAACATTCATTTTTGGAGTTGATAATGTTCTGAAAAAGAATGTATCAACTTCTCTTCACCAAAAGTGAGAAAATCCTTTCTTCCTAGGGATTGTAGAATCCTAATGAAACAGTATCTATTAAGAATAAGGAGCAATTTTTTTGTGGTAGACTCCCCTCTTTTAAGGTTGCATTTGCGAAAATATCCATGGGGTTAAAGTCTCAGCATTAGGGTTCAAAAGTTTAATGCATTGCCAGAATTAGGTTTTAATCTGAGGTTTGCTTTCATTTTTGCATTTTACCCATATCAAAGAAGTTATTTCCACAGCTAAACTCGTGACTGCCGGATCACTGGGCAGCAATAGTCCATTGTGCCAAGGCTTAATGTCAATAAATAATTATCGTGATAAGTGAACTTTTGCACGTATTATGTCAATAAACCTCAAATTCAAAAATGCAAGGCACAAACTATCAATTAATAAAAGAGCTCAAAATCATTGACCCCCATAAATAACGAAATTTGCTAAACCATACCACACTGCTGAACCCTCCAAAATCTTTAACATATTTGTATTTCTATTTGCAACATGGTATTTATTTGTAAAACTATAAAGTAGAGCCAATCACTAGCTTAAAAATTTTAAAGCCGCTGCTCACCCCAAACTCAAATTTAGGATTTGCTTGGATGAGGTTATTTTGTACGGAATGAAATTGAGACCAGCGATAAAAACTTTTATTTCCGTTGATTTGGATATTTTTTTAGTGAAGGGGTGGGCCCCACACTTTTTTCCTCTTCTCCCTTGCCATGAAATGAACAATAAAAGGGGGCTTGAATTTTGCTTTTGTTTTATTATGTAAAATAGTTTTAAAAATAATATAAATAAATAATAAGCATTAAGGAAAAAAATTAGATCAAAAAAGTTTTAAATTTTTATTAATATAAATTTATTATCATTATTATAAAAAAAAATTTGTACAATCTATTTATTTCTTTTCACTCTCTTTTTCACCTATCCAAACAACCGGAAATAATTTTTTTCACTTCTTTCTCTGTTATTTCTTTTGATCCAAATAACATATTTTTCACTTTATTTCTCACTCTCTTATTTGTTTCTCCTTTTTTTTTCTTTTCTCTTTATTTCATCTCATCATCTAAACAAAGCGTAAAGGTGGGATATGACAGGCTTAAGCTCAGAGCACAACCTGACACTCATGATCTGGGTTATTGTGCAGATTCAGACATATATTATAATCAAACATGGTATGAACTTGTTTTCAAGGGCTAGTTTGCTTTTTAAATACCATAGCCAAAAAGAAGTAAACAGAAAAACCCAAATTGCCATAAGAAGCAGAACGGTACAGATGAGAAAACCAATTTCTAAGTATTGATAGTGATAGCAACCAGTAACAGCAATAATACAAGCAATTTTTAAAGCAAACAATACAAACCAAAATATCTAATGAAAATTGAAGAAAAAATCAAACCAGCAAGTGGGCACTTTCGGTTTCAAGATCATCCAGAACAGCTTCCCACTCTTCTTTAAAAGTAGTCATTTCGTCCGCAACAGCAGTTTCCAACTACAAACAAGACACACAAATCTTAAGTAAGAACATAAAGTTAAAAAAAACCAGAGACAGAGAGAAACCAACATCATCCCCTTGAAGAGTCTGTTTCAATTCTTGTCTAACTTCACTCTGCACTTTAGAAAGAGACTCCTCTTCAAGAGCTTCTTGAGCCTCTGCAGCCTAAACTACATGTTAGAGAACCTCTATTTGCAAATTTTAATGTATTTGGAAAATATATGATGTATTGCAATTTTACATACCAGTCCTCAACACCCAGCTAATATTTGAAATTATAAAAAAAAAATAGTCATTTGAAGAGATCGTGAAAAGCTTAAAAAGAGAGTGTGTGTGTATGTGTCTGGTGGTATCTATCTAGCATATTGCGTGGTTGTGTCTGAGATGTAATGAATATAATACCTTACTCTCAACTTCTAACAATTCAGAAATAAGATCTTGTATTTCCTCTTCTGTTAAAGGCTCCTGCATGATACACACAAAAATGGTAATTAAAATACAATAAATTTTACATCAGAAAATCAAAGATAGACAGCTAGCTTTTAATCAGTATACAAAATTTTATCATCAAAAAGTTTCAAAAGAAAGAGAAAGAGAGGAAGAAAATATCATCATGACTGACTTCAAGATGCACTTCATCATCTATTTCAGGAAGCATTGATTCCTCATCGTCTGAATTGTCATTGAAAGAACCACTAGAAGCACTCTCAATATCCACCACTTCATCCTCAGTTTTTCCCTCCATCTCTGGCAAAAGTTACATCAAAAGAAGACAAACAAACATGCACAACTTCATATTAAATTAGTTGAACTATGCACTGTACAACCTTTTCAGAGAATGACAGAGAGGCCAACTACAATGTGCAAGAAAAGTATTATAATGGTGGCAAATACCAGAACAACAAACAGTATTCAAAAATATTTTGAAATAATACTATCATGCCCAGAGATAATAGTTTGTTCCCACACCAGATAAGCCAGATACATTAACCAAGTGGATTTTGAACCCCCTTATTTCATCCAGTCCTTGTTCTTTAAAAAGGACACGGATGAAGTCATACATAATCATTGACTCTATTGACACACCCAAAAAAAGAAACTATTTCTATGAGCTAATTTTGATTTACACAGCCTGAAAAAAGAAAAATAAATGCTCACACACAACTGCACCAATGCTAGAGTAGTATACTATTACGTAAATGAGTTTTCAAGAAATATCTAGGCAATATCTGTCTATGTCATGAGGCCCTCAATGCCCCACAGTTATTACTAGCACTCATTTTAGAGAAAAAACCAAATATAGCTTGATTAAGCAACAAGTTTTTAGAAAATCATCTTAGCCATCTAATTTATTAGCATTCCTTATAAAATTTTGAAACCATTGAGGTCCCTCCAAATTTTATAAATTAGAATTGGCAGCTTCCATCTTCGTTGCCCGAGATAGGAACCAAATACAAACTCTCTATCATGTAAATGATGGACTTCTAATAGATAGCAATGCCTCAAGTTCAAGAGCTAATTTAAATGTTTTACACTAAATTCACACAATTTGACTCAGATTTCCTAATATCAGTCAAGAAAATTAAAATGAAAGAGACATCAAATTTGAGTAATCAGATGTCAAGTAGTACAGCAACAGCACCCAAGGTAAATGTTCAGGGTCTGTTTGGTGGACAAAATAAAAGAATAAGATAAGATAAAAAAATTTATCCTATCATATTCTCAGTATTTGTTTAACTAACAAGATATTAAAAGTCTATCTTATAGATGATATTATACGTTCATAGTGTAAATTTTATTCGATTAGAAATAGACAGAATAAAATAACATAATTTATTTAGTTTGTTATTTTAATACACATCAAATGTAAAATAAGATCAAAGATGCTGTCATTTTATTATCCAACTCTCATATTCTATCATTTCCTACCCTATCTATCTGCAAAACTGGAAGAGTAAAACTTTCATTACAAAATTTGTTGGAGTTATCAAAGTTATCAACATTTTCTCGATAAGGAACGCCATAAAAAGTTCTCTTCATCTACAATTTTACTCAACTGTTGAACATTAACAGCAACAGTTTAGTTCAGCGGGTGGGAGTAAATACTGAACTTATCAGGAGCTATCCTAGGAATAGGTTTTATTCATCAGTAACAACAAATTATTCATTTATGTTCGAATAAATAAAGTAGAACACCAAACCAATTCATCGACACAACAGCATTCGCGCAATGCAATTTTTTTATCAAACGCAAATATTCTTAATCAAGCTAAAAACGAAGTGTAGTACCTTAATCGCCGAAGCGGAAGAAAGTAGGGATAGCAATGTGCTAATAGCTTCTGGATCTCTAGGTTTGCATGGAAAGTGTGATAGACGGACTTCGGTGGCAACCTCGTTTGAATTGATTTGACCTTTCTTCGGAATAAGGGCACCGAAAAAGAAAGGAGAAGAAAGAGATTTAAATATGAGCTGGCTTGTGTGTGCTCGCACGCTGTTTCGGTGTTTGAATTGGCGGAATTTGAAGAAGCGTCGTGACCCGCCGCGAATGGATGGAGGGAGAGGGAGAGAGAAAATTTACATAAATCAAAAAATGTTTCCTTTTAAATGATATTGGTGTTTTCTTTTTGCCAAATGAAACCAGCAGCGACTCAATCCATTCACGGAATGTAGATTTTCTTTTACTTTTCTTTTTTTGCCACCTAATTCAATTAATCGAATTTCAATTGCGATATTGTTGTTTTATTGAAGATAAATAATAATAATAATAATAATAATAATAATAATAATAATAATAAATTTAAATAAAATTAATATAAAGATAATTCAGTCTTATTATAATAAAATCTTGATTAAACATACAATAATTAAGTTATTTTATCTAAAATATAATTTTTTTATCGGAGATAATTTTGTTTTCATAAGTTAAAGCAGCTACATTTTAATTAATTTATGTAATTTATATTGTAATTAATTTTTATATTATAAATAACAGTTTTTTTTTAAAATAAAATATTAATAAAAATAATCTATTTTTAAAATTAAAGTTGTTATTTAATATCTTCTAATTATTTTATATAAACTTTTATATTTTTTGTAATTATCTATTTTTATAAAAATTATTTTAAAGTTTTTTTATTTTTTAAAATTTAAAATTTATTTTCAAGTGTCTTGTCTTTTAAAGTTATAGTTATCTTAATATTTAGTATTTATGATTATAAAATTAAGTCAAAATAATTTATTTTAAAAAATTATTATTTTAAAAAAATTATATATAATTATTTATAAAAATGTAAAAAAAAATTTTAATTATTAAATTTTATTTTTAAAATTTTATTCAAGTGTCCTGTAAATCCCTAAACAATTGTTTCTGCTACAGTTTTATCACTAATTCCTCTTACTTTATATATTATGGCTACCATAACCATAGAAGATGGGGAGAAAAACACACACATATATATATACACACATACTGATATTAGAACAAGAACAAATAGTAAAATGAAAATAGAATGCAGCAGGAGATAGAGTAAAAGCATTTATACTATAAAGTAGAATAAGAAACTTGATTCTTTGCAAGACTGTGTAGAATATAAAGGCACACATATTATCCTAATATTTGGCAGAAAATTTGATATGTAATTTAAACACCCTAGAAATCTTTGTAATTGTTTTTTATCTTTAGTTTCATCAGGAAATTTATCTGCAAATTCTAATGACCTTTGTATTGGCATAAAGGTTTCTTGATAAATATCATATCCAAGAAATTTTATTTTTGTTTGAAATGTACTCATCTTTTTGGCTGATACTACTAACCCATTTTGTTTAATTAGTGAATTTATTGAGGTGTTAAATATGTTGGTTTATCCCTTTTGAAAAGATGACAACATATATTTATATATATACAACGTTCAATACTGGGGAGAAAGACATAGAAGATCGGGAGGAAGACACACACACACATATTCAAATAGTAAAATGAAAATAGAATGCAACAGCAGATAGGGTAAAAAGAGTTATACTATAAAGTAGAATAAGAAACTTGATTCTTGGCAAGATTTTGTAGAACTTTTATTCTAGTTTTGCAAGCTGATATAATCTTCATACAAAAGATTAGAGATAGAAAGCTTAAACTTCAGAAAATATTTGTAGGTTGCTTCGAAAAGGATTTTCCTCTCCTCCTTTTCCGAATGTCTCTAACACAACTCAAAACATGGATTTATAATATAAAAAAGTACAATACAATAATTGTGAATACTATTGCAAGATACTCTTTTAATTTATTACATAATTCTATTGTTTCAAGATTCTGTTTATTTTCTTGTCATTTTTCTTTGTATTATTGATAGATTCTTTTTTTATAGATTTTCTCTACTTCTTTGCCTAGATTCTCTCTATTGCTTTGTCTACATTTTCTCTGCTTCTTTGTCTAATATTCCTTGTATTATTATTAGATTATTTTCTGATAGATTCTCTTGGTCTAACTTTGTAATTTGTCAGGCCTCCTTTGATACATGTTGTCGGCATTATAGTTTATTATAAAAGGGAGAAAATTGTTTAATAATCATCTCCGTTGTCGAAGAAATCATCAAGATCTGGGTTGCTTTGAACCTTTTTTTCACCATTATCTTGGGAGGATATTAAAGCTATATCTTGTAAAATTTTGTTAAACTTTATTTCAGTTCTTGCTGAAGATAATGCTGCCATCATCCTTGATTTGTTCTGTACGAACAAAGATTGCTGATTAAGGTTGATGTTGCTGTTTGGCTTTCTTGGCTGATCCTTGAATGTTGTAGCCACTAATCAATTTTTGGCTTAGTAATTAGGGTTAGGTTAAATTTTCCCACCATTTGACTTTGATTACTCTTACCAGGTATTGTACACTTGATTTTTCTACCAATTTGGCTGAATCATACTCCCACGTAGTGCTCCAAGTAATTCCTTGACTTTCCACAAAAGAGATAAGCTTATAGTCCTCACCAAAGTTGGTCTTCAATGTAAAATACTGATGTTGATAAGAATCTCTTTGGGGAAAATAGATTGAATAGGTCCAAATTCTAGGAACCACTTAATAAACCACTTTGGAAATTTTAAGGAGATTCCCTTACTAAACCAGATGAACCAAGAGTGCGTAGCTAGTTGCATAAACAACATGTTGCTCCAAGCATTAATGTAATCAAAATAATTATATTATTGCAGTTGATATTGTATTGTAAAGCTCTCTAATTGATACAGAAGTTGTTGCCAATCTCGTATTGTCAAAAATTTTAATATTTTTATTTTTGAAAATATTGTTTTCCCTGTCTTAAAATCTTGTTGATGAGTTAGTTCTATAGATTGTATGTCTAATAGAATTAATTCATAATATTGTCTCTTTTTTACATGAGAAACTGATACAAAATGGAACCCTTCAAGAAATATTTTCTTTGGTATTTCATGTCGTGATAAACTAAACCATTCTTGTTCAATTACCATTAGAGGTATTGTAAAATCTTTTTCTTGGTAAATACCTTTTGATTTTGCTTCTTTTTTGGGAGTATATGGTGGTAGAGGGGTGAATCTGTTTGAAGTTTGAATTGAACTATTTTGATTTTGTGTAAGGTTTGTCTTAATTATCTGGCTCACTATTTGTTGAGGTCTTTTTGTAGGATCTGATTTTGTAGGTAGGCAGACCATATAGGTCTTTTGTCATTCTGGACATTGCTTTCCCTGCAAAAATTCTCTAGTAAGAAAATCTGATAGTACATTTTTTTCTCCTTTGATATGTTGGATATTAAAATCAAAGTTTGCTAATAAAGCTTGTCATCTTGCAAAAATATGTTTTGAAACAACGTTTTTAACATCTTTTTGTAAAACTTGTGGAGCTGCCTTGCCATCTGTTTTTATTTAAAAAAATCTATTGAACAAATCATCTTGAAATTTATGCACACATAAAACAATTGATAGAGTCTCTTTTTTAACAGTAGAATATTTTTGTTGTGTAGCATGCCAAATACTTGAATGATACCTAACAACTTGATCTTTTAAAGATTAAGGATGTATCTGTTTAAGAACTCCACCATAACCAAGTTTTGATGCGTCTATTTCAACTACCGAGGAGGCATTTGGATTCGAAATTCCTAGACAAAGAATAGTTTTGACTATGGTCTTAATCCTTTTTATGGTTTCATTCATCTCTTCATTCTAAGTCGGAGGGTCTTTTCTATGTCTAGAATATAAAGGCACACATATTATCCTAATATTTGGCAAAAAAACTGATATGTAATTTAAACACCCTAAAAATTTCTGTAATTGTTTTTGTCTTTAGTTTCATTAGGAAATTTATTTGCAAATTCTAATGACCTTTGTATTGGCATAAAGGTTTCTTGATAAATATCATATCCAAGAAATCTTGTTTTTGTTTAAATATACTCATTTTTTTGGTTGATACTACTAACCCATTTTGTTTAATTAGTTCTATGAATTTATTGAGGTGCTAAATGTGTTGATTTATCCCTTTTGAATAAATGAGAACATCATCTAGGTATATCATAGAAAATTTCATATATGAGTAAAATATATTGTTCATTATTTCTTGAAATTCTTTGGGCGCATTCTTAATACCTTGAGGCATTACATTCCACTCATAATGTCCAAAAGGAACTATGAATGTGGTTTTATATCTTTTTCCTTAACAGATATTTAATAATATCCAGATTTCATGTCAAACTTTGAAAATATATTGGATTTGCTTAGCCTTTTAATCAAATCTTGTTTATTTGGTAAAAGATATCTGATCCATTTTAATATTTTATTCAGTGGCGTATAATTTATCACTAATCTCATAGCTTCTCTTTCTTATTCTAAAGCTTTATTAACATCAAACCCTATAAAACTCTAGGGTAATTTAGATGGTCTGATTAATCCTTTATCTAAAAATTCTTGAATTTCTTGCTTACAGAACTTAATATGTTTTTTATTCATTTGTATTGGTTTTGCTTTTGTTGGAATATCTTTCTTATTAAAATTTTCTTTATAAGAAAGGCTTATTTCATGTTGTTTTTTATAATGGAAGGCCACATGATTTGTTTTGCAAATTTCTTTTTCAATTTTTTCGTGAAAATCTTATATTATTTTTTAAATTTTTGGTGATTTTAATTGTTCTTCAATTCTTTTATGTTCAATTTCTTTATGAAGGAGTTTTATTTGTTTTTGTTTTCTATTTTTCATATTTATCTCTTTTATAGAAAATTTTTGTATCAAATTGAGTTCCCTTGCTTTTGGGGCCCTTAGGAATTCAAAGGTAATTGTCTTTCCTGGAACTTTTTATTTAGTGATTCCTATGTTACTAATTTGGAAAGGGAATGGTAAGGTTAAGAATAGGGTTCCTAAAATTATTTCATTGTTCATATTTTTTATTATTACAAAAGATGTTGTAAAACATATATTGTCTTTATAGATTTTTGCATTAAATAATTTATGATTAACCATCATTTTACTACCATTAGCACTTGTTACTTTTTTTTGTAGTTTTCTCAAAATATTTTATGGGTATCAACCCTTCTTGTATGCAGTTTACATCTGCACTCGAATCTATTAGTGCAATGAAC